CCCCCCCCAGCCCAAACAACCTGTTAACTGGCCATACTTTTAAAACACACTGAAACAGCAATAAAAACATGATAATGTTGAGCTTTAAATTTCCAGTGTGAGTTGTTCTTCATGCAGTTGGTCAGTGGTAATTTGGCAAGGATGATAATTTGAGAGTGTAAAACAATCTTTTTGGAAAGAAATGGTGAGTGGGAATGTGATAGGGATGTTCTGTTTTATATTCTGTTTTTTGGAAGCCCTTTTTGTCATCAGGCTTATGTGAATGTGAAGTATCACTGCTGTAAATAACTGCTTATAAATAATAGAGATGAATGCAGTTGGAAGAACACGATCTTGAAGCTCAAATCTTGCATTTCTTGGCCTGAATTTGACTGTTATTACAAAGACATCTTTGTGTTACTGATGTGCTGTAGAAGAGTGATATTAGAAATTAAGGTAGTCAATAGATGAACGGTAAAGTAATACTGAAAAGAATATTTAAAACATTTGGCAATAGTTTTTTCAAAGTTTCTGCTGTCTCACGGAAGAGCCCTACTTTTAGAGGATGGATAATTTAAAATGAAATCTGAGAAGTATATTCACAAAGAGACTCAGAAAAATAATCAGGAATAAAATTATTTGCAAGGCATAGATATTTATATTAAAAGATGAACATAAAAAGCTTGATGGGGTTGATGGACAGTCTTGAAAGAAAATATTACACGGCTAAGTTACACAAAAAGGTAGCATTTGCATCCCTCGGTGAGGGTCAGATTGGTGATCTGGGGTGGACTGCTTAGTGGCAAGGATCAGAAAGAGCCTGTAATTTTTTTTCTCTTAACTATTGCATCAATCTGGAGAGAATACTCTAATGGCAGAGCAAGTGTAGAGATTCGTGTCCCTGTTTATTTGTGCTTTTAGGGAGCACAGGTTGTGTATGGGTGTCGATACCTGGTAATTTGCATGTTCTGGTCTGTGTGATAAGGAGAACAGGGAGCTGATACACGTTAGCCAGCCCTGATACCTCCTCCTTAGTGCGAGGATCAGAGCAGAGAATTAGGGAGCGTGATTGGTGGCTAGTTATCGGCTCGCCCCTCTGGGGAGCAGGCGGAGGGAAGCCTTTCCCTTCAGTCACTCAGACTTCTAGTACTTGCTTAACCTGAGGTGGAAGCACGAAAGGAGCAATTAGAGCTGCTTTCCCTGCTCTGCGATGGGGCAGGTGGTCGGCAAGCTGGGCAGCAGGCCTGGGGGACGGGGCAGCAGCTACTCGCTCTGTTCGCATCGGAGCTCTCGTTAAGATTTATGGAAGATGAGAGGTAGCAACTTTTCCTGTCTGCCCAAAGTAATGGGACACTGGCTTAACAGTTGAAGAGTGCAGCTCAGCAACACTTGCACTTTATAAATAAACAGACATTTTCTTAACATAGCATGGTCCAGCCCATGGAAACAGAGATAATGTGTTATTTTTTTAAAGCATGCTTTATTAAGGAAACAAGGCTTATATGTTCACAGTATCTGTATGTGATTGCATCAGTCTCCTGTACCCTTGTGTATGATTCTTGAACCTGTTGCTTGCCTTTCATCTAATTTGACATGGTAGAAGTCTTAAAGATGGAAAGTTTCTGCAAATTTTTTAAAAATAGGTATTTTGCTAGAGTGAAGAGATCCTATATTCTGCTCCATTGAGGAAGAGACTACATCAGGAGGTCACACAGTCAGAGTCCCCTGAAGAGATGTGACAGATGCCCCAGTTTCACAGGTGGATTTATCGGTACTCTGAGACCAGAAATGTGTATTTGTAGGACACCAGGCTCTGTTAATTCAGTGAGCTTGTTGTTTAGGAGTGAGAATCTACAGCCCACAGAAGAGTTAATACTTACCAACTGAGTAGGTGTACAGCTCAACTTGAGTTGAAAAGTAATACTTCGCCAACATAGGAATTTTTTTAATGCTTTTTTATGTCGATGCTTTGTCATAGCTTTCAGATGTGATCTACAAATGATATTAACTGATCAATTTGATATTTAATAAAAATATTTTATGACATTGCGTTGTGGAATATTTCACAGCATAATGTAGGTTGAAAGGGACTTCCTGAGGTTATGTAGTCCAACCTCCTACTCAAAGCAGGGCTGATGTCAAAATTAGATCAAGTTTTTCAACTTGTCCACTCAATATTTCCAAAACCTCCAGGGACGGAGATTCCACAACATCTCTGGGTAGCTTCTGGTTCTAGTGGTAAACTGATTGCCCGCTGAAACTTTTGCCCTTAAAAACATGAGAGGTTTCCCTTGCAGCAACTTGTGACTGTTGCCTCTTGTCCTTTCTACTTTTTACTTCTGAGAAGAGTCTGGATCAGTTTTCTCTGCAGTTCCCCTTTATGTAACTTAAAAGAGCAATTGGATACTTTCCACCCCCACCTTTTTCCCCTCCTAGACTATACAAACCCAGTTTCCTCAACTTTTTTCTTGTATGTCATGTCCTTCAGCCCTCTGTGCATCCTAATGGTTTTCTGCTGGACTTGCTCCAGTACTGGTAGAGAGAAAGACTGGATGCAGTGTTCCAGATGTGGCCTCACAGCAGCAGTCACTTTCCTTGACCTGCTGGCTGTGCACTTAATAGGGCTGCCCAGTCCATGGTTAGCCATCATCGCTGTGAGCAGGCGCTGCCAGTGGGTGAAGTTGGATGTTGTTCTGGTAATCTGGAAAATACTTCTACTTGCACTTAAAGTGAGGCATTTTAGAAAACCCCGAACCCCACAACTTTTTCTTAAGTGATTTCCAGATTGCTCAAATGAAGTGTATGGAGCCATAAACATATTTTAGAATGTAACTTCCCTTTACTGTGTTGTAAGGTAAATTAAATTAGTGTTATGTGAGATGCAGAAAAGTTTATTTCAGGTGATTTATCTGTGTAAAACTTAGATTTTTCTTAATTGCTAGGCAAGTTATTAAAGACAATAGTTTGCTTGTGAATAAATCCCCTTTTCAGAAGGGATCTTATTTGCCATTGTTTTATGACCGCTTCTGAGCATGTGAAGGAGCTATTCTCAAACTCATCTTTTTGCAAGGTACATTAAAAGCCAAATATATATTACTTCGTTATCAACTTCGACCAGGTAAATTAAAAAAATGCTAGTAGTAATAAATGTCATTAATTCAGATGGGGTTACTTGATAAGAGATTGGTAGATACTTGGGCAAGAGGAGGTTTCTGGTGCTCCAGCGGTGTGCAGCAGGTTAGTTTCTGTTTCAGAGAGCATTCCTGTCTCCACCCCTTTCTGCCGGGTAGAGCCAGCACAGCGGCAGCCCCGGTCCCCCGGGAAGGGACTGCACCCCGGCTTCCACCCGGGAGGCTTCTAGTGCCCTGCCTGCACCAGGCAGTGGTGGATGAAATACCGGTTTGTGTGTATATATATGTATATATGGCTTGAAGAAAGGCTTTAATAGAAATATCTATTA